AACAGGGCCGTTGTCGGGCCGCCCCAGAAGAATATTGTTTTTGAAAATTTTTTTTGATAAATAAGGCGCTGGCCCTCGAAGATTCCCCCGCGCCACCACCGTTTCTCCAGTTACATTGTCTTTTCCACAACACAGAGCGACAGATATCACCCCCCCCCCCCCCCATCGGTCATTACCCCCCCGTTATTCTGCCGGACCTTCTCGACCGGGCCGCAGAATATTGTCTGACATGAAAACGGTCCGTGAGGTAAAAAAGGTTGGGGACCACTGAATTACATGACATCACATGGCATCACCTGTCATCACATGACATCACCTGTCATCACATGACATCACCTGTCATCACCTGGCATCACATGACATCACCTGTCATCACCTGGCATCACCTGTCATCACATGTCATCACCTGTCATCACCTGTCATCACCTGGCATCACCTGTCATCACCTGTCATCACATGACATCACCTCGCTGGATTCGTTCTCTTTATTACACTTCATTCATTTAACAGCTTTTATTTGTTTAGACATTGTAGATTTCTGCTAATAAAAGTGTCGAGGGTTTGAAGAATAATTTGAATTAAATTGTCCAGCATTCCAGCTGATCTGATTGGTCTATAAAGTAATTAGTTAATTGATAGAATTTCAGGCATTTAAGCTTCTAGGTTCTGAAGATTTACTCCTTCTTTGATAATTGTATGTTGATAATTGTAACGTAATGCTGAATAATTCCTTCTATATTTATTAATAACAAACGTTTTTGTCCAACTGAAGGACGTAGCGCCCCCTGGTGGTCAGTCTGTGGAAGTCTGACATGGCAGTAGTGGCTCGGCCTTAAAGATGGGGTCAGGGGTCAGCCTTAAGGATGGGGTCAGGGGTCAGCCTTATAGATGGTGTCAGGGGTCAGCCTTAAGGATGGGGTCAGGGGTCAGTCTTAAGGATGGGGTCAGGGGTCGGCCTCAGGTTGCCTTTGACCGGTAGGAGACGTCGGGGAAGACCCTGCTGCCACCGTGAGGAAAATGGATTATTGTTTCTTTTATGCTGTTTACGTTTTATATTTAGTTTCAATGTCATACAATCCTGTGACTTAATCATAACGCATCATATCCTGAGACATCGTCCTCTGTCCTCTCAGAACGTTCTGTCCTAATTCTGTTTCAACAAGGAGAAGAAAAAACACTCGAGGTAACGGAGCCTGTTTTTTATTTTTGTATATTTTTCTGCAAAATACAAACATGTTTCGGTGAAGGACGATGTTCCTCTGACGTCTCCTGAGGAACATCGTCCCCGGGCGGCGACAAAGACCCGCTTATGCCGCTAAAACCGTCTCTTCTACAACACTGGACTCGTGGTTATTAGAAGCGTGTTCAAAGAGGGAAGATGTAACATGTGCAGTGCAGGACATTCACAGGTCTGACCCCCCCGAGCTGGACCGACTGCCTGTTCATGAGCTGAGACATGAATAAAACAACATAATGGCCGAAGGTTCAAGCTCCAAATATACAGCTATCAAACCCAAATATTCAAACGTCAACGACCGTCTCTGCTCTGTCCACGCTCTTATTGTGGCGGGTGGTGGAGACAGTTTTAGGTACAAGGCACGGATTATCTGAAATGTCCCAACTGGTGGAAAGTACTCAACTACTGTACTTGAATCATTTTGAGGTACAACTACGTTACTACTTCTACTTTATGCTACTTTTAAACTTCTATTAAATTAAAATATTTCTCTACGATATGAAAGACTGAGATCGATTTTTAGTTTTCTCTTTACATTTCTTGTACTTTTACTTCAGCAGAGTTGCGCCCTGGCAGAAAGAAACAAAAACACTTTTATAGAATCCACAGTAATTTGTCCTTTTGTGAGACGGATTTTGAGCTTTGACCTTTTATGGGAATATTGTTTTAAACTTCCAGTTAAATTAAAATCTCCCTGAATGTTAAATAGAAAACCACCAGCCTTTAATTATATTACTGTAATCGTATTAAATAAAGCTGCAGACAAGAATATCAATTATATAACACTATGTAACCGTTGTACAGCTGAGCATCGCTGTCCTGTTAATGTGACCCTCCCTCTGACCACTATGCTAAGCTAACCGCTAGCGTCCTCGGAGGTTCAGATATACGAAGAAACGCTGTGATGCTTGTTTGCTTTTCGTCGACTGGTTGTGAAATTTAACTCTAAAATAAATGAATGGATTTAACTTTGCTACATTTGATTTTATTCAAGTTTTTAATCCAATTTGAGCATCTTGATGTTTTTTAAACATGTGGAATTTAAGAATCCTTATTTCTTCTCATGTCGTTTTTCATGCCTCATAATTTATAATGAATTTGATCATTTTTTAGGGACATTTATACTAAATATTTGTGAATATCTCTCAGTGTTGTTACCAAACACTGATCGGATCTCAACGCTTTAATCTTTCATCCACTGAGTGAAACTTCTCTATGCAAATAACTTCCTCATCCATCATCCGCCCACCACAGCTCCTCCATCTCCTCCATCTCCTCCACTTGCTCTCTCCCCGTTTCCATCACGTGTTTCCATCACGTGTTTCCATCACGTGTTTCCATGTGTGTGAACCTTCTTCCCCGTCACGTCTCATATAGCACATACATGATGTATTATATGTGTCATTGGGTGGAGCTCTCAGCAGTTTGATGAATACTTCCCTGATGTCCCTGAATCTGAACCACTGTGTTCTTATTCAGCAGTTAGGCTCCGCCCCCTGTCCCGCCCATCACCGCTACACAGCCACTCGCACAAGAAAACACGACACCACTACGCGCCCCCCCTCCGGCTGCAGGGCGGCGCCATCATGTGGCCCACCCCTCCGATAGCCTCATGCGCTTGACTGACGGGCTGCGGCGCTCCTCGTGATTGGCCGGCGGCTGGAGCAGGAAGTTGCCGTGGTGATCCTCGCCGCCCTCGTACGAGCTCCCGCAGCTGGAGGCGCTGTTGCCAGGGGAACGACCCGCGCCCACCGAGTACCCGGCCAAGGTCACGCAGCCGCCGACCAGCCCCGCGAGGCCCCCCCGGTCCCGGGGGGGGGAGGCCGGCTCGGACTTGATGTGGAGGTTCTGGTGGGGAGCGGAGTTCAGGTTTGGGTTCTGGCAGAAGGTCCTGAGGGACCAGAGGGAGGCGCCGGTTCAGCAACACGAAGAAAACACTCGGCATCGAAATCTCTGTGACCCCCCGACCCCCCCGACCCCCCCAAAGCCTCTCACCCCATGTGGCCGAGCGCCGAGTGCTGGAGGTTCTGCTGCTGCTGCCAGCTGGCTACCGATCCGAGACCAGAACCTCCGAAGCCGCTGAGGAGAAGTCTGAGGAAACACACATACACACACACATATATATATATATGTATATATGTATATATTTATATATCTATATATACATATATGTAACAGCTCCTGTGCTCGTCGTACTCACCTGTCCCGTAGGAGGAGGACAGGTACCCCCCCACCAGCTGTCCCGGGAGCGTCTGAGCGCAGAGGGACACGGCCGGCGAGGACAGACTCTGAGAGGGACTGAGCCTGTGGTTCTGAGAGGGGGGGCACAGGTGCTGTAGAGCTACAATACACCTGACTTGTCTCTAATTAACTGTTACTGTAACCAAACGTAAAGCATCTAATGCTCCATGAATAATCACAACGTCCAGCCCTTTATTATATAAATATAAATATAAATATTATATACGACACACTGACTCACGCTGGGGGGCAGGTTGCTGCACTTGTTGGGGGGGGGCAGCAGCGTGCGGAGGTCCGGCTTCCGGCTCACGCTCATCGGGGGAGGAGTCTTCTCCTGCAGGTGTCTGGCCCCGCCTCCCGGAGACGAGCAGTGGTTACCATGGTTACCGTAGCCGCCGTCTCCTGCGGACGGGGTTGAATATATTTATAATGTGAAGTAAAAGGGTTTTCATAGTATCTGATACTATAGAATATATGTAATACACTATGAGATGACAGAATATGATCTAATAATTATATAATAGTGTCCGTCTGCAGCTGTTATTATTGAACCGTCTCTTAGAACAGCTGATCTGATCACAGGTCAAAGTTACCGATCGATGATGAAACAGGTTTAACCTCAAACATCTCATATGTAAAAGCGTTTTTAGAATGAATCAGTAAGGTTGAGGTTTTGAGGCGGATCAGTGGACAAATGAGGGGCGTCACCTGCGTCCCCGGCGCTGGACGGCCTCTGGGGGGACGACCCGTCCCTCTGCAAACCACACCCCATCCCAGGGTGAGAGTACAGCAGAGCACTGGGGGGGCCGGAGAGGCCCAGGTCGTATGCAGAGGGGACCAGACCCTGCTGGTACACAAGTACATGTGCTCATATAGAAGTACAAGGACTCGTTTATAAGTACACGTATGTACATGATGATGTCACTCACACACAGCCTCTGCCTGTCGATCATCAGGTCGATGTCCTCGCTGATTTTTCGGTACTTGTCGTCGTCCTCGGCGCTTTGACCCGCCGAGTCGTCGGCCTCGAGGTCGGGGCTGTCGGCGCCGCTGAGGCCTTTCTTACGCAGCGTCTGCAGGGAGAGAGACGCTGCTTTAACTGCATATATCATCCTTCAACAGACAACACGTATGAAATACGTGCATATGCGCACAGCTTTGACGCTATGGTATCACATGTATTACTTTGTAGTAATGTAGTACTTTGTGTACTTAATGTAGATCATGTATTATCAAAAAGTCAGTGCGCTTGTCAGTCGTGTTCCTGTTTCCACCAGCAGAGGGCGACGTCGGGCAGGAAGCACAGTACAACTAGTACTTAGGAAAAAGTACAAATATTCGTCTGGACGTATTTTTGGCAAACCAAACACACACACACACACACACACACCACACACACACACACAGTAAAACCACACACACACTGTATAACACACACTGTGTGTAGCACACACACATAAGGCTCAGCGGTTGGCCCAGTGCAGACATCCCACTCAACCCAGTCATGTCCACCTGTTTGGCTTCAGAGGGGAGGAGGGGGAGGAGGGGGAGGAGGGGACGAGGGTCCATCCACCAATACTCACCCTGCTCCCCCAGCGATGCCCTACAAGGATATATTTTGCTCCAGCACCATTTTCTGTCACTGCCTCAAAATCTGACTTGTCTATTCACACACACACACACACACACACACACACACACACACACACACACACACACACACACACACACACACACACACACACACACACACACACACACACACACACACACACACACACGACTGATCATCATATGACTCGTCGTCATGGCGACTGGTGACCTGAATGATTGTCCGATATTCTCTCTGTTCTTAGAAAACATTAAATAATTAATCCAAAATGATGAAACCTGAACTAAGGCTGCGATTGTTTAGTTTTTTTCGATTGCTAACAAACGTTTGACACTGAAACCAAACTTTCAAAACTCTTCACACGTCTCATTACAGAGATTCATTCAGGGTAAATGTGACCTTCAAACTGAGTCAACAGAACCTTCATGAATGTGTCAAATGAGCTGATTCCACCGATCAGATTCTCATTGAGAAAACGTGAGACTGAAGCAGGACTCCTGGTCGCCTTTTAGCTGAAACATGGTGATGAGACTAAAGCAGGACGCCTGGTCGCCTTTTAGCTGAAACATGGTGATGAGACTAAAGCAGGACGCCTGGTCGCCTTTTAGCTGAAACATGGTGAAGAGACTAAAGCAGGACGCCTGGTCGCCTTTCAGGACGCCTGGTCGCCTTTTAGCTGAAACATGATGATGAGACTAAAGCAGGACGCCTGGTCGCCTTTCAGCTGAAACATGGTGATGAGACTAAAGCAGGACGCCTGGTCGCCTTTCAGCTGAAACATGGTGATGAGACTAAAGCAGGACGCCTGGTCGCCTTTCAGCTGAAACATGGTGATGAGACTAAAGCAGGACGCCTGGTCGCCTTTCACTGAAACATGGTGAAGAGACTAAAGCAGGACACCTGGTCGCCTTTCAGCTGAAACATGGTGATGAGACTAAAGCAGGACGCCTGGTCGCCTTTCACTGAAACATGGTGATGAGACTAAAGCAGGACGCCTGGTCGCCTTTCAGCTGAAACATGGTGATGAGACTAAAGCAGGACGCCTGGTCGCCTTTCAGCTGAAACATGGTGATGAGACTAAAGCAGGACGCCTGGTCGCCTTTTAGCTGAAACATGGTGATGAGACTAAAGCAGGACGCCTGGTCGCCTTTTAGCTGAAACATGGTGATGAGACTAAAGCAGGACGCCTGGTCGCCTTTCACTGAAACATGGTGATGAGACTAAAGCAGGACGCCTGGTCGCCTTTCAGCTGAAACATGGTGATGAGACTAAAGCAGGACGCCTGGTCGCCTTTCAGCTGAAACATGGTGATGAGACTAAAGCAGGACGCCTGGTCGCCTTTTAGCTGAAACATGGTGATGAGACTAAAGCAGGACGCCTGGTCACTTTTCACTGAAACATGGTGATGAGAATAAAGCAGGACGCCTGGTCGCCTTTCAGCTGAAACATGGTGATGAGACTAAAGCAGGACCCCTGGTCGCCTTTCACTGAAACATGGTGATGAGACTAAAGCAGGACGCCTGGTCGCCTTTCAGCTGAAACATGGTGATGAGACTAAAGCAGGACGCCTGGTCGCCTTTTAGCTGAAACATGGTGAAGAGACTAAAGCAGGACGCCTGGTCGCCTTTCAGCTGAAACATGGTGAAGAGACTAAAGCAGGACGCCTGGTCGCCTTTTAGCTGAAACATGGTGATGAGACTAAAGCAGGACGCCTGGTCGCCTTTCACTGAAACATGGTGAAGAGACTAAAGCAGGACGCCTGGTCACCTTTTAGCTGAAACATGGTGATGAGACTAAAGCAGGACGCCTGGTCGCCTTTTAGCTGAAACATGGTGATGAGACTAAAGCAGGACGCCTGGTCGCCTTTTAGCTGAAACATGGTGATGAGACTAAAGCAGGACGCCTGGTCACCTTTCACTGAAACATGGTGATGAGACTAAAGCAGGACGCCTGGTCGCCTTTCAGCTGAAACATGGTGATGAGACTAAAGCAGGACGCCTTTCACTGAAACATGGTGATGAGACTAAAGCAGGACGCCTGGTCGCCTTTCAGCTGAAACATGGTGATGAGACTAAGACACGATTCGGGCCGCCTTGTCCCCTTATCATGGAGAAGATAGTAAAAC